GCCGCCCGCGCCCTCGCTGAGGGGGCTCAAGGAGTCAATTTGACAACGCTGATGTGATAACGTTCATGCTGAGGCATTTTAAGTGTAAATGAGTCTAGTCGCTGAGCTGGCGTCAAATTTTTGTAGAAAGTTTAATCCTTCCTCTAAGCGAGCTGCAGCTAACCACCTACTGAAGTGCGTGGCTGCGGAATTAAGCAACTGAAATTCAGCTTTTCAGATGCCACTTTGCACGTTTGTTGTATCTCTGTTTGCAGAAATGCTGCTAAAAGAAACTGGGAGGCGCGTACACGCGTTTCCAGTGAGTTGGTGTGGGCACCGGGCGCCAGCGGCCACGTGAGAAATAACTTGGTTGAACAAGGGAGGATTGCAGGCTCTTGCCCAACAACCTGTGGTTCTTGTCTCTGTCTAATTCCTCATACCCTTTCTTCTTTTTGCCACTTCATTTTAAGGTGAAGCGTGCCCTTTTACTGTGATAAAAGGCAGTTCCACCCTATGGGAAATCACCATAGCATCCTTTCTATCGCTGGTCTTCCTTTGCTGAAGAAATACTGTTGCCACAGGAAGCAAACTAATACGTCATGAATCACTGAGGAGAGCTGCTATAGGAGGTCACAAAATAAAGCCCCAGTTCTCAGAAGTGTGCTTCACAAATACAGATCATGCTACTTGACTTAGACACCAGGCAAAAGTCTCCGAAGTTTCCCTTAAGGTAGGTGGGAGCAGAACAAATGTTTGTATCGCTAAATAATAAGTTTATTTTGAAGGCGTTTCAATGAGAATTTAAGTATCAGGGCATGCTGGTAGTTCTAGCATCTTTTAGGTTAATTTATTAATGCTTAGAAGTATTTATTGAAAATGAAATCTAGAGTGGCCCTAAGGATTTTCCTCTGCTTTCCAGCGTAGATTGTGGACAAGTAAGGGCAGTGTCTTAGGAGGAATCAAGAGAGATGAAGCTCAATAGCTGGAGATTCGTTTTCCCCGTGATGGGTTGTAATTTTGACTGTAAAGTGGATCTTACACTGGCAGTTTTGCAGATTCTGTACAAGGCCATGCATGTTTTGGAACTGCAAGACGGTATTAATCACTACTGTAATATAAAGTTATTACTTCAGGGTGAAGTTAACTAAGTGTGTAAATGTGTATGTCTGTCTATTGGAATAAAAGGATGTATTAGTTTCCTAAGTTCTTAAATTATGTTCTTGAATTTAGCACTTGCATTTCCTAATTTTCTTTCTGTTTCACTTTTCAGTAATTAATTTAACTTGTATTTTCTTACTATGGTAATATTGCAAATGGTTTTGGAATAAATGAGCAATAGAGATTGAACACTTCTACTCGTCTCAGATTTCACTGAAGTTTGCTGTTACTCTGAGTGTCATCATCTTCCTAATGGGTTTCAGAAAAGATGCTTGCTTTTAATAAATAGATAAATATAAAGAAAAGATGGAAGGAAACAACTACCTTTGGCTACTTTTAACAAAACACAGAAGTATGCATAACATTTGAGGAATATATTCATCTTCTCCCAGTGATTGCACTGGTAAATCTTAGTGGTAAATATGAGGGCTAATGGCATGCAATTAATGGTAATATGCTTATTTTGCTGTTTAACGTATGCTTTATGTATCTTTATAGTATATAGGCAGAACTGGAGAACTCAAGCTACGCCAGTGGCCAGCTCATACTGTTGCTTAATTGAAGAGATACTCTCAAATAAGAGTTTCTAATTTACAGCAGTTATTACATGTTAACTGAACGTACGCCTGGTTCTGTATTCATTACAGTAATAGGTAGGTTAAATTGAAGCAGTTAAACTGCTATATTCCAAAACAGAAATGAATGTTTGGTAGAAGCAAGGTCTTGCCTTAGGTTTTTATCTCATCCGAAGGATGGATAGCAAAATCTTTCCAGCTAAGGGCAGACAGTGGTGAGGTTTGTATGTAACAACATTATAAGGTGACATTTGGGAACGAGGTGTGAATATTCTTATCTGTATTGACAAGAATGGAGAAAGAATCATGGAGCACCTCCATAACAGGCTCATCGGCATAACAGCGGAGAATATGAATTGTCCATATTCTGTCACTTACTACCTGTCCTATCTTTCCCTTCCTCTTTTTGGTTGATCTCTTTTCACTTGAAGCTGAGAAATGAAATACGATATGCAGAATAAGCTTTAAGGTGAAAAAGTAATTTTTAAGATTGTTTCCTCTGCTTCCTGAATCACTGAAATGTTAAATCATGAATGTGTTATGGTATGCTAATCCAGAAAGGTAGGTTGTAGTGTGGCAGTTCTCTATTTAGATCTCAGCCAAGATGGAATTTCTGACCAACATTATACAGAAATAAAGAGAGACTGTTTTATGTCTTTGCCACGACAATAACCCAAGTGTTTGGGCATTCAGTACCAAAGTTGCTGCTCTGTTTTAATTTAAAAAAAAAACAAAAACAAACAAAAAACTCTACCCACTGTTTGCATGTCCACTATTTAACCCAATCACAACACTACTGCAGCAGGAGAGAGGGGTTATTTTTCCATTCCCATTAAATGAAAATTAAAATAAGACAAACAGTACTTTTATACACTAGCCTTGATAAAAACTTGACAACTAAGTTGGTATAGCTAAACGGAAATTAAAAAAAAACAGAGTAATGCATATAGACTTAGATCATTATTAAGTTCAGAGAGGAAGATGTTTGAATTTCAGTGTAACACTTGCTCAAAAGAAGTACTTATATTAATTTGATGAAGACAGAAAGTTGGTAAAAAATTAAACTTTTTTCCCTGCTTAATCTATTGCAAAGCATGGAAACACATAGTTCAATAATAATAAAATAGTGGGGAAATTACAGTATGTTGTATGTGGAACATACATCTGGAGAAAAGCAAATGCCATTTCATAAGCTGTCAGTAGATGGCACAAACATTTATATAAAAAGTTTGGGCATTCTTAAGTATTGTTACACAGTAGGATAGAATTACAGGAAGTTTTGTCTTTTCCTGATACATGTTCTGCTTTTTCGGAGAGCAGGGATTTCTGGTGAGAAACTTTTCATTTTATTGATTTTATGGTGTTGCTAGTTAGCTAAAACTGTTTTATATTTTGCATCTTATTTGAAAATGAGCCATGTTTTCCATAGAGGGTTATTAGCAAGTGTATGATGTACTTTCAAGTGTATGGGTAAGAAATGAGAGTAAAGTTGCTTATGTTCAGTAAATTTGTCCAAAGAAGCTGGCCAAATAGCAGTCTCTTTGTATTAGCACTATATCCATAGTTAAGGGGGTCACAGTGATTTAACAGAAATAGTTTTTCTACAGTTCAGGAATGGGTCTGACTTGATGATATGTTTCATCCATGTGAAAGACATATTTTTAACATTTGAGTTTTGTATTATGCTGATAACTTGTGAACCATCATAGGCCAATGCATTCCGTACATTTCTTATATGAAAGCTTAGTCAGTTTATACTGAGTTTATATTGGAAAAATTCTTAAAACCTCAATTTTGATATCTTCTCTCACTCTTTAAACAACAGGACAATTTCTTGCTATGACCTTGGTTTGCTTCCCCTACTGCATTGCTTCTCTGCTTATATCTTGATAATGCTCTTTTTGCCAAGTTTGAAGACTTGAGGATACTTCTGAATTAAAAGGGATATGACTATAAAGGATAATTTCTCCAGTGTTAGCTCCCAGATCACAGGTCATGTGTTATAACAGTTCTTAATTTTGTTGCTTCATAGGATATTCTAAAGAAAGTTTGAAGGTGCTCATAAATAATTTGACTGAATGCCAGGATATAGGAATGAGAAAGAAAATTAAGCACATGTGGAAGAATCATACCCTTCTTTCACCTAGTCCCTGGAAACTGCTGAAGTTTTGTCCTAAAAAGAAGTAATGATTTTGAAGGTAGATTTTTTTTCATATTTCTCTTGAAGCTACGTATTTTGTTTGATTATGTACACATTAGTGGTGTTGCCCAAACAATCAGAAGAACAGGATAGAGGATGCTAATTATCTTTTGTTCTCTGCACATGCCCAAGTGCATTTTGAGGGCTATGATGGTAACACTGCATATAATTTTTCCAAATGAAAATCTGGAGAAAGGCTGAAAAAGTTTTGCTGTATTGCCTCACTATTTCTAAGCCTAGTTTCATGCGTTCTTTACAAAAGAAGAACTCAGTGGACTCTCTGCTTTTTGTTGTACTGTTGATTTTCCAGATTTTGTAATATAGGTTATGTTAGATCAAGGAGAATGTACATTTTAGACCCAGTAATGTAATTCTAAGAAAGCTCGTGGAATGGTTAATGGTACAGAAGATGTAGTCCTCAAGGTTGTAGCTTTAATTCAACAGGTGACAGCTATTAACTGTCTCATTGTACAGTCACTAGAAATCATGTTTCAATCCAGGTTTTGTAGTCACAAGTCCCTGTAAAAAAATGTCTCTGAGTCTAGTTCATATCCTTGAAGAGAGAATCTGATGAGAGGATGACCATACTGACCTCAAATATTGTACTTTCTGATCAAAGTGTATTATACAGCTGTGGGAATCCTTCATAATACATTGAATCACAGCAGTAATTCTGTAGGTAAGCAGCAAATTTTAGTCACCTATGAATTCAGATATGTTTTGTAAGAAACAGACTCGTTATATATTAAATACAGCATATTTACTGATGAGAAATTGGAACTTTAAAAAACCAATCTCTGTGATAGCTCCTGCATAGCCACCTAACGATACAATCTGATTTTTGCTTTTATTTGTTTGTTTTTCTACAGGATTAGAACAAAGATGGACAGATAAGAAAAGTATTAAGCATCTCCAAGGAACCAGAAACCAATATGGCAGAAAATATGAGATCTCTCAGAAACTTTTTTCTATACGAGTGTTTGTTTGCATTAACTTTTTGGAACCATATCAGCCTGTCTGTGGAAAATGAACTCTTTACACCTGTTTCTAGTGATTTTCGAGAAGATGGTTCTGACAAAAAAATCAAGAGCCTGCCACTCCTGTACACAAATAGTCATCAGTCCAAAGCTAATTTTGAATGGGTTGTGATACAAAATACTACAGAAAGCCTGTCATTGTCGGAAATCACAAATGACAATGTAAAAAAATTAGTAGCTTTATTATCTAATTTTGGAAAAGGCTCCAGGTTACAAAATCTGACACTGACAAATGTGTCAGTGGACTGGAATGTTCTTACTGAAATTTTTCAGACTGTATGGCACTCATCCATTGAATACTTCAATATTAACAGTGCAACACAATTGTCAGACATCAGCAGTTACAACTTTAACTATTCAGGTACCTCTATGAAAGCATTGACAATGAAGAAAATTGTAATCACGGATCTGTACTTCACGCAGGATGACCTATACAGAATATTTGCAGACATGAACATTGAAGCCTTGACAATAGCTGAATCAGAGATGATACATATGGTGTGTCCTTCATCTGACAGTCCCTTTAGATACTTAAATTTTTTAAACAATGATTTAACAGATCTTCTTTTTCAAAAATGTGAAACATTAATTCAACTGGAGACATTAATCTTGCAGAGGAATAAATTTGAGAGCCTTTCCAAGGTAAGCTTCATG